TAGTGGAATCTCAGCTCCTTCCTTTCACTCTCTCTGTTTCCTACCTGCCACGAAGTGAAAAGACCTCCTCTACCTTTGGGTTCCTACTATGATCTATTGTGCCACACAGGCCCAAAGCAACAGGTCAAAGAAATAATGTACTGAAACCTCTGAAACCATAAGCCAAAGTAAACCTTTTCTCCTTATAACTTGAGTATCTCAGGTATTTTTGTCACAGCATCAGAAAGCTCCTTAAAACATTACATATGGAGAATGGGAGTAGGATACCACAATTTCTGATAGGGTGGGTTTAGGTCTCATTTTTGCTCTCAGAAAAGAGCTGAGTGGGTCTGGGAAATAAACATCAGTCAAGCTGGTACAGCAACTGAAGGACACTACTGGCATAGCATGGTTCTTTTGGGGAAAAGTTTTGAGGGCTCTGCCCAATGCTGCATAGAGAGGCCACTTTTGTGAAGAATCAACAGTCAGTGCAAAGGGGTCTTTTGAATTTAATCCTGCCTGTTAAACCAGCTATTTCCCAGCACCTGGAAGAAGCAAACCTCCTGCACACAAAAAAAGCCATTTCCCCAGTTCAGGCTGCTGGGGCCTTTGGCCAATAAAAATTCCCAGAGATAATCCCTGGGCAACAGGCATTTCAAGTCACCACATCTGACAGGTCGCGACTGCCCCTTGCAATGGAGGGGTCACGGGGAGCTGGAGTTTTTAACTGCTTCAGTGAATGAGAGATAGAGGTGAGAGGCCAGGTTTTAGCTGTGGTTTGAAGAGCAATATGCCAGTCATTCAAATAGTCCTGATCCTTCACTGATATCTCCTGGCTCATCTCCAAATGCAGACTTGAGGATCAGGTGGTTTACTGCAAAGTTGGAGGAAATAATCTGAAGAGCACAAACTGACAAAAGCATTGTAAGGAAGCACTAACTCTCTGCCAGACCCCCAGGCTAGGTGCTTAGTTAGACACCTGGGCCCAGGATGGGGATGGCTTACATTCTCATCACTAAGCTCTGCACACTCTGTTCACTCAAGTCCAGGGTGGGTGAAACAGACTGGAACCTCCCCATTCCTTCTTCTAGAGCCCTCTCTGGCTCCTCTTGGGGCAGTGTTACTCACTGAGTACCCACTACCCATTTTGTGGTGGTCATGATAGGCACTGTCCCTGCCTTCAAGATTTTACATTCTTCAGGCAACTGCAATACTCAGTATGCCACAGCCTGGAATTGCTGTACCATCCCCTATATTTTAGCTCACTGAATATCCCCTCTTAGGCTATTTTCAGCATCTTCCCTCTTCCCCTCATTCCACATGCCTTTCCCCTCACTGTTAGAACCACATAGGCATCTTCTCAGTTCAGCAAACACACCTTGTGGCCTTACTGCCGGGCTCATTGTGTTCTCTATCTGGAACATTCTACCCCATCTACTCTCAGTTTAAAAAACACCTCCTCAAAGAGTCTTTCCCTCCCTACCACCTACAAAGCAAGTCTGTCTATCTGTCTGTCTATCTGTCTGTCTCTCTTTCTCTCTCTCTCTCTGCTTTGTAATACATATTTATTTGCTGGGTTACAGTGGAGGCTAGGGTGGAGTTTCAACCTGTTAGGTTTTGGGATCCAGCCCAAGGGACTGGTGGAACATACTCCAAGGTGTATGGATGGGTCATGGCAGCATGGCCCTGAGGTCCATCTGGTCCTTCGCCCCTTCTGCTCTGATACTCTTGCTCTACTCTCTGGTTGCCAAGAACTAAGATGTTTTGCTCTCCCATACCCTCCTGCATGATGTCTCCGCCATGAACCCAGTCAGTCATGGAGTTAAATTGTGAACAAATTAGATCTTCCATTCTTTAAGTTGAGGGTGCTGAGTATTGTATCTCAGTGATGAAAAAGCTAATTAATACAGTTCCTTGTTTAATTTTGTCTCCCCTCTAAGACTGTGACACTCAAATGGGCGGGAACGTTTTCCATCCTGTTCATTTTCCCTCTCCCCAGTTTTTCATGGTACATCGAGAAACTAGAAGTAGGCGAAAGATTCTTCTTAGAAGTGACTCTGGAGTAGAGTGGGGTCAGGCAGTGAGATGCTGTGTTAGTGACAATAGTGCCTGAGTTTAGTTCTCTTAGCAAGAGAAAAGCTTTCTGAGCACTGAAGCAAGGAAGAAATATAAATGTTTACCCTCTTGCGTTACATGGAAATGGACTGAAGCCAGAAGAGGGAAGATGGAGATAGGGAGACCTATGAGGGATCCATTTTTGGGATCCACCCTCCGTCACCTGAGAACCTGTTAGAAATGCAGTATCTCAGACCTAGCCTAGATGTGCTACATCCCTGCATTTTAACAGGTCCTCTAGGCAACTGTCTACTCACCTAACATCTGGGTCAGTAGTGGTGGACCTATGTCAGGGGTGCCACAGCTGGCACGCAGAGCCCTCTCCGTCAGCACACAAGCCAACTTGCCCCAGCAGCTGAGCATCAGAAAACAGTTGTCTTTCTAAACCAAAACCGCAGTATCCAGGTTTAATTGCAGTGTTGGCACTTTGCAATAAACGAGTAGATTTTGGGTTGTAGTTTGGGCACTTGATCTCTAAAAGGTTTGCCATCACTGATCTAAGTCCTGAGGAAAAATAATTACGGTGCCATCGGCCTTTGGGAATGGTGGATAAAAATGGAACATCAACTTCGCTTATAAATCCACTATTCCAGATGTACTTAAGGTACCAGAGGCAGGTTCCAGTACTGCAAGCAGTGTCAAACTCTGAGTCCATCAGAAGTCATGGAGGGGAGGGGAAGGGGTAAGAGAACATTGAGGTGAGATGAGATGGGTTGGGGCTATCAGCCAGGCTGTGATTGTGGGCAGAGGAGCTCTGGCTTTCAAGGCAGGTGCACACATGCAAAGGGAAGCATTACTGACTCTGGCCAGGAAAAAAAGCCACCAAGTTTTGTCTAACATGTTTTTTTCAGTTTTAAAAAAATTTTACTAGCACATATTTGCCATACATAATGATCACATTCATCATAGGGAATTTGCATCTGTCCATAATATATCTTCATTCTTTTTGTTCCCTCATTTCCCTCCTGTCCCTTCAATCCCTCTTTCCCTCCTGATTTACAAATCTTTGTTTCCAGTTTATCCTTTCCATTCTCTTTTTTTAATCCCTCTTCCCTTCATTCCTTTCTTCATCTACCTTCCTTATTCCCCTTCCCATTTGAACATATTTTTTCTGCTTCTTGATATCTGTCCTCCATTTCGTAACTTATTTACCCTTTGGGTTTCTCACACAAGAGAAACCATGTGATATTTAAACTTGTGTGTCTTGATTTATTTCATTAACTCTGTGGCCTCAAGCTGGATCCATTTACCGAAAGCTGACTCATTTATCCTTTTTATGGCAGAGTAGTACTCCATTGTATATAAATACCACAATTTATCTATTTATCTATTGGTGGGCATGCAGGCTATTTCCAAGATTTCCAAACTTAACAGTATAAGCTTCTCCAGCACCTAGGTCAGTGTCTGGCAAGTAGGAAGGGCTCAAACAATATTGCTGAATAAACAAGGGAACTGATCATGTAATGGTAATGCTACAGAGGTCCTAAAGCATTTACATGGGACTGAAATAAGTCAGACCCAGATGTATGTTTCGTGAGATATATTTCCCTTCGATAAAAAAAATAGGGAAATCTTGGAGAATAAAATTCTAGGTAAAAAGGAAAAATACCTCTATCTATATATCTCTATCTATCTACCTTTGAATGACCCATGCATCCTAAAATCACCAGGGAAAGTGGCTGCAGCCTCAAAATAAGCTGAACAAGCCTCTTTGGAAAGCAGGAAGTGAGGGTTCTCCCAGGGGGCTTTGGAATCTCTGTGGTGTGAGGATCAGTGGGAACAGAAGCTATCAACCCTCTGCAGCAGGACAAGGGCAAAGGGGACCCCAGCAGAACAGCCCGAAAGCCATATGGCCATGTGGCCAGAGGAGACCAGGGTGTTCTCTATGGCAACTGGCTAGCCAGAGACTCCACTGTGCAAGCAGAAGCTTTAATAGAAACAGCAGAAGGCAGAAGAAAGCACTGGAAGCAGGCACCTGCACACCAGCTCCTTCAAGCCCAGCAAGGCGCCAGACCCGAAGGGAGTGTTAACATTTGTAAGACAAAAGAATGAATTAAGAAAATTCTTCCTGATTTTATGGTTTCCCTTTCTTACTTCATTATCCCAATGAAATGAACCCATTGTCAAATGCAAATTCACAAAGTTATCCCAAGAATAATGCCTGAAGTTCCAAGAACAAATTCTCACCTCTGGCCTCCATGATTCCAGCATCCTCCCCATAAATCTTACTGTTGGATCTCAGATGAATTGGTCATGGAGCATTTCTTCACCCCTCCATTTAGAATATATAGACCGGCTTCATCCTGGCTCCTTTTGTATGAACTGTTTTGTCTAACTTGGTTTGATCCAAGCTAAAATGACCTGTCACCACATTTACCTCTGCCCCATTACACTGTGAGCCTCTGATTCCTCCTGAGAAAGAAGCAATGTTTTAGCAGGCCATTGCAGTACCAGATGTATCCTAGGTGTTCATAAGTGTAGGTCAAATGTAGGCTGGCATCAAACTCCTTTCTTTCATGGTGCTGTTCACAAAGCAGCACCCTCAGCCCCCCTCCCTGGGCTGCTCCTCCTGGCTAAGCTATGGAACCTGTGTCTCTTGAGAATCACACTACCCACCTTCTCAGGGGACCTCTAGATTCATTTCAGGATGACACAGCACCGGCAGAGCCAGCCATGTTAAAGGGTTCCCTTTAACCCTCCACCAGTCCAGTTACATGGAACATAACATTTTTAATCTTGCTACACGTCTTGTGGTCCAGAGATTATCTCAGTCTGCTCATATGGCAGCTTCTCAAGGGCAAGCCACAGAGCCAACCAAGTGGCCCAGGCCCCTATTTTGGCACAGAGACTCAACAAGCAGACGTGGGGTACTTTTGATGACAAAAAAGACAATAGTAGAGACTAACCTTGGATGTGTAGGTGTGGCCATCAGAGCCGCAGACCATGGCCGACTGTGCCGCAGGGCATGGCTTGCACTTGACCAGATTTGAAGGTCCAACCCAATGCTTGTGCGCTACATTCCCCTTCTTTTGCCTGAGGATGAGAAAAAAGAGGGGATAAATTAGTTGAAGCTCTGGTCCCCATTGTCTTTCCTCTAGGTTTCCAGAAAACAAAGCCAAATAAATGAACAAAAAACTTCTCAGATAGGCAGGAAAGTCATGAGGGACCCTGACCAGCATTCATTTGTTCCAGTTCACTGACAAGGATGGAAGATTTTGTCCCAAAAGCCTAGTTTCTACCCAATCAACAGATGGACCAAGGAAACAGAATGGCCATTAAAATCTTGAAAAGATTACTGATGTGAAAAGACATTCACAATACATTTTTAAAAACAATAAGTTTTGGTTAATCATACACAAAACAAGTGTGGGAGTCACAGGTTCCCAGAACAATTCTCAGAGCCTTAAACTCTCCCAACGCTAACAGGCATCCTTCCATATGGGTGACACATAGGGCACACTATAAGGACTTTAGACAGAAATGTATCTCTCCAAACACCACCAAAGGACTTTATCACAACTATAGAAAACTATCTCTGGATATATTTTAAAACAATTTCAGGCCAGCTTCCCATTTGCCATTCAACAGAGGTTCTGATATGCTGTCGCCTCCAACTGTTAAAATAATCAAAATTCTATTTTTTCATCCCAGCTTGAGTTTTTCCCCACTCTAACCTTTGTCATAATGATAAATGGCGCTATTAGGATGGCGTATGTCCACAGAAGAAAGCCCATCTCTGGATCATAAACCAGTCAGATAAGGACCTATAGTTACTGCCACCTTTTCTCCCTTAGCTGGAGCTGCTGTCTCAGAAAACTGCCTGGTGAGACACTCATGGCCCAGGGGCTAAACTCTGTGTGGAAGACAAGCACTTTTGGACTTCTCATCAATCAGGCAATTATGGCGCCCTTGGAGTGTTCTGCACTGACAGTCCTACACAGTAGTTAGCATTTTGGGGTCTCAAATTAGAAAACACAAGTTCAGACTCAGCTCCGCCACTTGCTTATGGTGTGACCTTGGCCAAATATTTTAACCTGTAAATCTCTGTTTCCTCATATGTAGTGAAGGGAAATAGAATCTACTTCAAGTATATATTATAAAGATTAAATGAGCTGATATTCACATATATAAAAACTCAGTATAGAGCCTGAAAAACAGGAAGTGATAATGATGGTAGCTATTTGATTGTTGTCTGTCCCAATACATGAAGGTACAGAGAATTAAAATTATCATTACTATAGAAACATAATCATTCCTCAGGTTTGAAAGGGCATCTAATTTCCTCAATGAATCTATGGAGCCAGAAGAGGGACATCTTTTCTACTAGGCAAGGAATGATTCTCCAGTCCCTCATGAATTCAGTTTGGTATCTGAGGTAACCTACCCTTTTCCAAACAAAGGGAAGTGAGCAAGAAAGAAAGATGAATAAGGCAGAGTACCCATTAATTTGGTTGTTATTTTACTTCAAATCTACCCTAGCAATTTGAGGGAAGTGCTAAGAGAGGAATGGTGTGTTTAGAGAACTACATCTGAGGGGGCATAAAAGATCAGCATATACCCAGTGGACAGCCCCTAAAGCCATTGAAGATTCAAGCTGGAGAGGCCCCAGAGCTGAGCCCATCTGACCAAAAAGCCAGAGAAGAAAGTCCTATAAGAGTCCTTTGAGTTCACCTAGTCCAACTTGCTTGTTTTACTAAAAGGGGACAGTGAAGTTCAAAGAGAAAAGCCTTGGCTGAAGCAATGCATCCGACTCAGGCCTTGGTAGTGTTCACAGCAGTTGAGTGTCCAAAGATGAATCTCTCTTCCTTGCCCTCTCAGTCCAACCTAGAATACTGGCTTAAAGATACTTTGAGGACTCCTAGGTGTATGCTCTCCAACGTGCCCCTGCTTCCACAGCAGCTACCCACCTTGGTCTTGTCTCTCTGTCTAGAATTTTAAAAAATCTACCATTTACATTTATAAATAACTTGTACTGGAGGTCTCCTATTATCCTTCACCATACACACTTAATGCTTTCAGGGTTTACTTTGGACAACCTGCAATGAATGGTGGGTGGGACTCCACAAGAGAGAAGCTGGCTCTCAGTATGGGCTTAATCTTAGAGAACACAACTCCGTCAACAAAACACCACACATTTATCATCATTCACACAGCAGATTTTGACACTGATAATGAAATAGCAAATGCAGGAAGAAGTTCTGGCATCTGGCAGCCATTTTCCAGGGTCAGTCCCAATACAGCAAAAGCAATTTTTGTTAGAACTTTCCAGAAAGGGCTATCAAGTCCAAAACGTGGCAGCTTTGTTGAAGCAACCACAACCATATACAGTGATGCTCCAAAGGGAAAAAGCTTAAGGGAGCTCAGCTCGGTAAAGGAAGGAGAAGTGACCACTGAACCAGAAGCTTTGAGAAAAAGATGGAACAAGTTATCAATCACCAATTAATGGCAAGTCATCTCTATCTGGACTTCATCGTTAAATTAAATTCATTAACAGAAGTCAAGGAAGTAAGGATACCATGCCTCCTTTATACTCAAGATATCCCTGCTGGGTGGGAGTATCGCCACATTCTGACTGTTACAGTCATTACTTGGCAGTTAATCACACAATCACCAAATATCACAGCCACAGAACACCTTAAAACTAATGTAGTCCAGCCACTTTATTCTACAAGTGAGTAATTAGAGACAAACATGAAAAGTGGCCTGTGGTGTCACAAAGACATACGGCAATTATACTTATTTGTCCTAGAATCTACTGTACTGATTCAGAATCATTTTACTCTCCTACTTTGGGATCCTGTACTTTCATTATCAGGATTTAATTTTATAGAGGTCCTTTGAAACACTGTCCCTCCATCTCTACATGCAGAGGAATGAGATCGGCACACTCAACGTCAGGTGGCTGTGGATCATGTCCAGATATAACTACCTTTGATCTTTCCTGGAATGCCTTGAGGGTTTTTGGTACAGCAGCTAATCTAGTCCAAGTTTCCCAGTTCTAAAGAAACAAACATCTGACAGAATTGGCAAATCTAGGCATTTTTCTAACCTCTACTAGGTAGGACCTTAGTGTAGATGGCCTCCCAAGCCTATGGTCTCTGTCCAGAGGCCAACTGAATAAAGTTATGTCTGAGTGTATGTGGTCCAAGGAGGCATAACTTTCCTGGCTATTGTGCATTAATTTCAATCCCCATAACCCTGTACGCATCATAAAAAATAACCGACCAAGTTAAGGCAAGGAACTTAGACCTCTGACTCAAATATTTCGATGCTTCCATCCATGAAGAGTAAAATCCAGAGAAGGGGTCTTGATGGGATTGTTTCACCCAGCATCACAGACATTTATCAACTGAGGTGACACCACAGTTTATTCAGGAGGCAGATCCTGTCAGCCTTCCCCTTGGCTGCTCAACCTTGACTCTTATGTCAGCCTGGCTGATGCTGTGAGGGCAGCTTCACTCCCTACAACTTACCTGCAGCCATCCATGTGGAGAAGAGACAGACCACTAGGAGATTCCCAGCATTTCTACTCCAATTTGCTAAACTACTTACACTCAATCTTTTTCTAAAGTCCACCAAAATTCCCAGCATTTGTGATTTTGAAAGAGAAAGATGATTGGTAAGTACAAATCTGATCATGTAACTCCCGTGGTTAAAACCTCCATCTTCACCTGACTTTGCATGGTATTAGTCTAAGCTCTGAGTTTTAGAGCGCAGACTGCCCTAGCCTGCCTTCACAGGCTCACTGTCTGCTCTGTTCCCCTCCCTGACACAAACATGCAAGCACACACATGCACACTGAGCACAGCCACCACCAGCTTTTGTTCTAGACACCTTCAACTGTTTTCTGGGGCACAGAAAGGACCGTCTGTGCCTCTTTGCCATCATGTGGCTTTTTCCTCCTCCTAACATATCTCCATCCCCACCTAAATCTTTCCATCTATCCTCCCTTCATCAAGACCAGCTCAAACAATGGCTCCAAGCAGCTTCCTGGGCCCCTTCACAGGCAGTTAGGCAGCATTTCTTCTCCATCACTACCCTATATTCACTTCTAGCTGGGCAGGTTCTTCAATTGATCTCCAAGCAAGAACCTTGATTTTACTCAACCAAATATTAAAAGGTTACTATTATTTCAACAGAAGATGGAGCTCACCCCAGCAGAAAGCCTGGGTGCCCATCTTGGACATTTCCTTCTTCCTCCTCACAACCTTCCCTATCACTGAGTCCTACTGATTCTATCTCCAGCCAGCCACATCTTGGGCTTATATGTCTCTTCCATGTGCCATGCAAATGTCTAAAGGCCTTCTGCATTCTCCCTGCAGAGTAAATGTCAGTTCCTTGTTCAACATTGGAATCCATTGCCTTAGGTGAAATCTTTCCCGACCCTGTGACCCTCAATCTAGGCCAAGTTAACTATGACAGTGTTTGTTCCAACACTACACTTGTTCCAACCCAGTGGTGACAAATACTATATAGTAGGTCTATCTTCCTCAATCTACTGGGTGCTCCTAAAGGGGAGCTACAAGAAGGTGGAAGGTGGTAGGTAATTTTTCAGTGGCAAATGCATGTGCAAGAATAGATTTCTGGACACAATCCTGCTGAATGAAATTCAGCAATCTGTGTCAAAATTATTTTAATGACAAGAGGGGGAGTAGGAATGGATGACTGCTAAAAATACATGTATTAGAATTGTTGACTCTGTCAGTAATTGAAAAGCCCCATTCATCTTATTCTGTACACTGTGCATTTTGCCATGCTTACTTGACTTTAGACAGAACTGTTTTACTCTGCACATGAACAGCTGGTGAGGAAGTAAAGCAACTCCAGATAATGAATAATAGCAGTAGCATACCACTCGCTCTTCATAACTACTATATAGCAGCCTAGACACCCTAAATGTGTCTCCCTATTCCTCACACATGGCAACATTGAGAGCAGATGCCATTACTGCTCCCATTTTATAGGTGGGAAAACAGGCATACACCAGTCCTTCTTTTCTGTCCTACCTTAGTTCTCTGATCAGATCTCTAAGA